AAAAAAAAAAAAAAAAAAAGGGGAAAGAAAAAATTCATAGAAACCTGCGCGTCTGTTTAGTTGTAGATATACTTTTAGGATTGTTAAAGTACACACGATAAACCATCATCTTGATAGTTTTTGCGATTTTCCACTGATCAAACAAAGAGCAAAAGTAGTAACCGAGTCTCACTTCAGGCCATATTCCAAAGGGAATCCCTTTTAAGCTATTAAATACGTTTACACTCAACGCATCTAGTCTTCCGGAGTGTTTTGATGGAGACCAAATAGAAGCTGTATTTAATTTCCACGTGAGCACACGACACATGATTGGCTGTTTCAAGATTCTCCTTAGATCTACGACCGAGGGAGTGAACTAAAAATAATTCAGGAATAAGGCCATAGGGATCCAGTCTCTCAGCTCATGCCTTCTTTAGTTAGCATTTAATTCAACACAGTACTCGGTGCTGTCTTTCTCTTTAAACATTACCTTATCGTAGCTAGAGCATGCAAGGAATTCCACTTCTTTGGTGTTTTAGCGGTTAAACGCAGGTGTCGTCTTTTTTGACTGAACAAGAGAATGGTGGCAAGGCAATGCAAGACATGTTATATGATTTATCCTAAAGTTTAACATTTCTCTTAAAATTAAGCAAAGTAAGTATAGAAGGAAATTATAGATAGAGCGTCTTTTTCAGTTTAAAATATTTCATGTTGTTCTTTAAAGTTAAAACCTTCAAGCTTTTTCTAAACCGTTTTAAAAAATTAACTGCTTAATGTAACATTAAAATCAATAGTTGAATAGTGATAAGCTAAGTTGTTTAAAAGTTTCGTTCAAAGATGGATAAAATATCAATTTTCAAACAATGAAAAGAGTTACAAAATTAATTTATAGGTGCATGCAAATGGAAACAACCAAAATATTGCGAGATTTTTAACGGTTAGAACTTTGGATGGCGAGATAAAAAAAAGTTATAATATACAGAAGGTTATTATTTTTACTGCTGTCGTTTAAGATCACATGTCAAAGTTAAAGATTTAACATATTTCATATCAGTATCGGTTCGCTTACGTTTAACTCGACCTTCTTTTTATCAGTTAATACGAAGAAAGATAGCAGAACTCACTCATCATTCAAGAAGTCCATCAAAGACATCTGTGTTTCAGCCTTGGAAAGACTTCTCTTCTGAATCTCGGGGCTAAATTGGGATCTACAGACAAAAATGTTTTGTTTAAGTGACAAAAAGAGGTTGTTGTGTCTTAGAGGCATATACGCCTGTTAATGCATGAAGAGCCCCCACCCCTGGATGGGACGCGACACTCGCCAGTACCCATTTATGTTCCCGGGAAGAGAGGGGTACTATGAGCGCAAAGTGTCTCGCCCTTATTTTAAGACCTTACTAGGGGTTGGGACGGGACCTCTCAATCCAGGTTCAAGTGTATAATACAGACTGGTGTACGTAATATAAATAAAAGAGTCAAAAACAGTCCAGGGGAGAAAACTAAAAGCAAAAAAAATTCAAATAAAGGTTCTTTGCTATAAACATACTTTTTAAGAAAAAAATAGGTTTTAATAGAAAAGGTAAAATCACTTTTGACAAAGGAAAATCATTTCATATTTTACTTACCCAAGCCTTTTGTCTTCTATAGGATTTCCTAACAGTAAAAAATTAACTTACGTTAAAAAAATATGTCAAAGACCTGGTTTAAATCACACTTGAACTATGAATTGTCTTCTTTAACCCCGAAGAACAATCTATTATTTCGATATTCAGCTTTAACCTGTAAACCTCAGCCTGAGGCCCTGGGAACTAAACTAAAGGATTAGTAAGGATTAATCCCCAATGCCTTGTGGAGACGTCTACGGTCAGGGCTGTGATATAGAGGAGACTGGGGGCCACAAATCGCTAACTTTTATCTTTGAGCAACCCATAAAACTTTAAGTCATAATTCTCAAGCTTTATGAGACAGTGCCCTGGATATCCAAGACATTGGTCACTAGGCACCCAACGATTCTTTAAAGAGCACAGCTTTCATTGACCAGATAGACAACAAATTTTGTAGTAATAAAAGCAGGGTATTCTTAGGAAAATAATAGGTATGAGTTTCTAAAAAAGCTGTGGTGCTGCGTTGTTGGAGTAGTCCATTGTGTTCTATCAACTGAGTTGATAAATGTAAATTTTCCACCTTAAGAGTTTCTGAAGAAGGGAACGAAACGTCAGCTTCAGAAACTCTTTACGGTGGGGGCGTTGCCAGGATTTTTCAAAAGGGTGGGGGGTGTCACACTGTGTCAAACAGACGGTACTACCGGACTGTCATGTCAACCTCCATGCCATGTTTGACTTGAACAAAGGCTTACAAAGGGGGAAGGGGGTCACAGGCATCCCAGGACTCTCTCTAGCTACACCCTTGTACGGTGGTCAATTCACGCTATCAACTCAGTTGATAAAACCAAATCATTCTTAGGAAAGGTCACCTTCTCCCTTATCTCATGGTGCCAAGCCTACAGTGTGTGTGTGCCTTCTTTACCTTAAGATCTTGTCAATACTTACCATCTTCTCCAAGTTTAAGATCAGCCAAACAACTGTATGAATATGATTTTGTATGGAGATTACTTTTGTTTGGAGAAAGAAGACCGTTGTCCTTATGATTCACATTGACATCAACATCTGTTAGCGAAGTTATCGACACACTGCTTGAAGCTTTACCCAAGTTTTGTTTATCATCACTGGCCTTCTTTATAGAATCTAAAATATCTGCAAGTTTGTTCCCCTCTTCCTTGGGACTGTCAAGATTCAATGATACAGGTCTTTTGTTTTTGAGAGCATGTATCCTGCTCCGTGGTTTGTCATTTTCAACTTTTTCTTCGCAGTCAGCTTCTTTAGTTAAATCATCAAGGCTTGAGCTAACTCTCTTATTCAGTTCAGGCCTCTCTTCGTGTTTCCCCCAGCTATGTGCCCGTCGTACATCACTTTTACAATCCACAGAGAGAAGTTTATCGTCTGCACTATTAGAGGTATCCTCTTGTCTCTGAGTAGTTTCTCTTGTTCTATCTGGAGAAGTTCTAAGATTAATACCAAGAGGGCTTGCCTTACGATCCTTTTGATCAACAGTACCATTCACAATTGATTTCTCCTCCTTAGATTTCATTCCTAAAACCATGAAAGGACACACGCATTTACAACATGGGCTAAGTTATCTGAGATTACAATAAAAAGGAGAAATTAATGGCAAGAATGTGATAGAAATAATGAAAACTGCATAGTGGTAATTACAAAAGAATTAAAAACTTCAGCACTCATCTGTTGGTATTTATCAAACTGTTCCTTTACCTGCAATAACTTGGGCTTGTTGTAGGTCCTGTGCACTTAATGATGGACAGGACAAGCGACGTAAATTCTTTCCCTGCATACCACTTCTTCCAGCCTAGAATGTGACAAATGTGATATTTAATAGCATGATAAAAACCACTCTTAGGAGAACACCTAACAACTAACTTTGTTGAAACTAAACTAAAATGAATTCTTTTCTGTGGTTTTTGGTTTGAGGCACCTCTGATAGGGGGAAATGGAAAAAGAGTCCTGTGTTCTGAATGAATGTTCTAGTGGGTAAGATGGACTTACTAGGATAACCAACCAGCTTTGTTTCTGCAAAGGGAAATTATTTTGTGCCTTTTATCCTTTACTGACCAGGCTTACTTTCTCAAGTTTGCTGGATGTTGTGTTTTTTATGGATCTCAATAAAGCCCAGATGGCCCGTGAAGATGCAATGTTCTCCTTTTCTGGAGAAAAATGGCCTGTACTACTTCTTGTTATGGGTAACAGGCTTGCTCTACCCATTTGAAAATGTCTTTTGTGTTTAAAATATGGGAGAAAACCAAAGATGCAAAAAAAAAGAACTTTTGACAATTTCTTCTCACTTTTAAACTTGTACATGTATCTCCTTTCAGTACAGTACCTCTCTAGAGCCTCTCTGTGAATTAACCATCCTGAGCTTCTGTATTTCTTCATTGATGTCTCTCAGTCTTTTGAGATTTTGTTCTGAAAGCAATGCACAAACAACATTAAAACAAAAATCATAACCTCACTTTTGATACATGTAACATAGAAATCTACAATCATTCAGTTTTTATGTTTTCTTTTCTTTCCTATAGTTCTTTTATGAACAGAAAAACAGCTGGAAACTAACAGCTCCTCACAACCCACCACACTACATTTCTCTTTGTACTATTCAACCCACTGACCCGTCATAGTGACTGACATCTAATTTCTCCTTTCAATATCAGCCCTGAATTCACCCATTTCAGTCACAAGAATATAGGAAATGATCACCAGCCACTGTTAAACAAATTCTCCTTGTTAGCACATTGGAAAATCTATACAGAGCAGTAGGGAGAATATGAAAACTTATATTAGGGTGTGTAGGTTAGTAACATACCTAACAGTTGCCTATTACCACCTCCACTGCTCCTTGCTGATGTCATACTGTTCAGCTGACCTGTGAACTTCTTTGGTGAAAGCTCCCTGTTGATTTGCTTTATTTCCTCATCACTGCTAGATGCATCTTCTAAAAAAATTATATATTTAAAAGGTCAGTTTTTAAATCAATGAAATATGAAAATCATAAGGAACCATTTTGTTTACAAGAGATCCTGGCAACATCAATTTGCTTCAAATCAAGATCAAGAAAGTGCAAGATGCTAGGATCATCAACAACACATCACAGCATGGAAAAAAGAAGTAAAGCAACAGCCAGACCTGTTGTGTCCTTATTTTTTCTTCGAACTGGCCAAGAATGACGAAACTTTGGTACTCTTTTCTTCATCTAAAAGAGAAAAGTAGCAATAAACATAATATAAATTTCAATGGATTATTTCCCTAAGATAATATTGTATTGACATGACTATTCAAAATTAATTTTTAACAGGATCTAAATTAATGAAGAGAGAGACATTAATTTAGTCACTGAACTATGCTAAGTAGAGCAGCTGATCTACAAAGTGATTTCATCATTGTAATGTTTATACTTACTTCCTCTTCAACCAATGAATTTATGTTTTGGAGCATTTCAATATCTTTTTCTGTTAAGATAAATAATTTCAATAAATAAGTTTGAGATCAAAGCATAAAGAACCAAGGTCCCACTCACAAAGTTTTAGAAACACTATCCAGTTGTACAATGTGTACCTTTCCAACTGATGATTCTTTTAAGAAAATTAAACTGTTGAGTACCAATCTTCAGAAAGGTTTACATGTATGTTTGTACAAAAATTGCAGCTAGACATAATTAACCATAATTAATATTATGCACTGTGACATCAGTATCTAAATTCTCAATACTCATCTCTACACATTTCCTTTGGTACAGACCATGAGAATTCACTTAATAAACAAAGCCTCCAAGGTTGGTGATCATTTCCTTTATTCTCATAACCTTAATAAATGATTCAGCAGCAATATTGTAAGGAGAAATTACATGTAGATGCTGGTCACTCTCAGGGTTGAAAGTGTTAATACTCACCAAGAGAGTTCTGATGTTGAGTTTTATAACTGGATATTGTGGTGGTACCCAGCTCGCTTTTTTTGACCTGTGGTTTAGACATGTCTTTTACAGTCCTCTTTTCACAATCACCTGGACCTCTGTGTGAGGGTAAAAAAATTATTTAGAATTTCAAGTTTATCAGCCAGTCATGAAATTGGAAAAGTTATAGACTGCAGTGTTCCATCAGTAAACAATTTTTGGATCATTTTAACAACTCTTTGACAAAACTTTTGGAATTCCAGACACAGAATGCCATTTCATTAATCATACAAACAAGCAATCATGTGGAAGGAATGGTAAAAAAAATTATATCTAGATATAACAACTTGCACAAAGGCTCTAGATAAAGTTCTTACTGATAATGACTGGGGCATAGAAGGTTCTCACTGCATTTTCGAAGCTACAAGTTTGCTGCTACAACAATTTTAATTTTACTCCCATTCAGGCTTGGTTACATAAGTCTAAGAAAAATGTCTATTGTGTCAAGAGGTCTTTCTGAGACACTGAGACACTGAGTTTCATGTTAACCTTGAAAACATGTCAGCAAGTAACTTCATTCCCTTCTCCCGAGCTATTTCTTCTGGTAATTTGCCTGACTTGTCCTGGATATGAAGAGCCTCCATTGATCCTGGCTGGTCAAGCAGATATGTTGCCAGTTGAGAAAATCCTAGACGTGCTGAAAGATGGAGTAATGTTTCCTGACCTGGGGATGAAGAAATAGATGGAAAATCATGTAAGTTATTGGTGCAACAATCAAAGAAAGAATACACATTTCCTTGAAGTCGTTCAAGAAAATCACCTCTCCAGGAACAGTTATAATTGTCTTCTAGAAGTCATCTTCATTTCTTATTCATTTAGTATAAAACAATTTGAACCTTTCATTCTGCAAATTTACAATTTTAGACATTATTCAGACAGCATACATGTAACCAATAAAATAAGAAGAAGCCCAACCTGAAGAAGTCTGCATGTTTCAAACAGAGTTAAATTTCTTGAGTGGTGGCATTTCTAATGATAATATTTTAACATTATTGCTTTGCTGGCTAAAAATGTCAGAATCTTATTTAATCTTTTTTCAATTAGTAACACTGAAAACTTGACCCTGCTACATGAAAAGGCCTCAGTTTAATATTGAAACGGACTTCAAAAATCGTTTGCATGTATCTCTCAAACACCACTAGTACATTATACCTCGCTTCTAAACTTACTGTGAACTCAACACATCTCACATGCATGTCATGCAGAAATCACAAAAAACATAATTGATATCATAATGGTTTCTGGATAGATTAACCATTCAATTCTTATGAGTGATCAAGACAGACTTTCTCCTTACAATATCAATACAACATCAGGCAAACAAGGGGTGAGAATAAAGAAAAATATCAATTATGGTATTCATAGTTGATCCAATACCAAATTCTCCAAAATAACATCAAATGAACTGTATGACAGACAGTGAAGAGAAATACTAATGAGATCTTGGGAGTGAAAGGGGTGATGACTTTGCCCTACAACTGGAAATATACTGACAGAAAATGGAAGGGAAAAGGTTAGCAATGGTGGAGCACTTAAAACAGCTGTCCACAAAAAGTCACATACTCCATTTCCTGGTTCCAACAATGCATGATAAAAACAATTTTCACATATATTTTGTTTACTCAGCCAATGGAATTACACACATTTAAAACACCACACTAAGTGACTTACCATTTTCATTCTGAAAGTTCTCTACTCCATTCTCTCCAAATAATGACCAAGTGGGTGACAAATCCAAGAATTCAAATGCATTTGTTATTCTGGAATCTAAGGTGTCTCTGTACTCCTTGGACACTGCATTTGATATCAAGGACAGCGATGATAAGCATTCAAACAGCTTGCTGTCTGATGCACTGTCTGCTAAAAGTTTTGCAATAATCTGCTCTGTTTCAAGCAGGTATAAAAACTTGTGCGATGAAAGAGGTCCGACTTTGCTTTCCTGGGCACAATAAACAGTAAGTGTAACTTTCTCTGCTTGATCATGATCTAAGAGATATGAAGCAAAAGGCATAATAAAAGTACATTTGTATGTAGAGTAAAAGAAAATGACTTTTGTAAGGTAAAGGAAATTTAAAAAGAATTCTCTACATCAATCTCTCTCTTCAATATTTGTGGTTTGTTGTATTCACAATGAATAAAAACTGGGAGAGGCAACAGGTTCAACACAACGGACTTTTTCCAAATTATAGGAACATGCATGACTACAGCCATTACAATAATACTAGTGCATCACTCCAATTCATTACTTTCTACACTCTCATTATGTGTCATGTTTAGTCCCTCAATATCATCTATTGATATGTAACTTGTAGTGATTGTGGGGAAGATTATTAAACAAAACTTGTGATTTTACTGGCTACCCTACTGGGCAAAATGGGCCTATCTTGCCTCCTTGGGATTGCCTGCTTTGATCCCGCACAAGGGAAAAAATTGCATGGGGTTAACTTACAAAATTTGTCATTTTTGGACAATGTCAGTTATGGAGTCACTAAAAGCAGCAAAAGACATACAAAACAAATAAAACATAAACAAAGATGCACCATTACAGTCGCCTTCTCTCTTACAGTTCCATACATTATTCAGCAAAAAGGTAATGAGAATATTCGAACTTATCAGGTCGAAGCTGCTATCTTGATCTAGCACCAAATTCTCATAACTGATTTACAAGGATATGAGTAACAAGTGGAGGGGAGAATTAACAATCAGATCTTGGGAGTTAGAGGGTTAAATTTGCAAAGAACTTAACCAATATCAAGCCATCTTGATCTCAGCTTGGTCAATAATGGATATGCACTAGGGAACAATAATGTGTCGAGAGAAGTAGTTCATGATGTACCTGGTACAATGGCACGAAGAGTGAATGTATTTATTTGCTGCGCTGTTGTTACATGTCGCTGTTTTTTTCCTTCAAATACCATATAAAAGTCTCCATTATCTGGCAGAGGAAATTCATCTGAAAATGTTATAAAAATCACCTCTCCACCCTGAAACAAGAAAAAAACATTTAAGAAAAATGTAAAAAAATTAATAAATAGTACACAATGATAGGCTAATGCAGGAAATTGTTTTAAGAGACAAATTTGGTCAGAGCAGCACTCCAAGTTGCAACTGTTTTTGGTTACCATGGTAACTAGGGGAAAAAAAAAAGGGGCAACCAAATTTGTAACAGTACTTGCCAATTCGGCAACCTGTGGTAGGAAGTCATAAAGCAAGCCACAATGTTATTACAACTTAGCTTGTGTGCTTTGCAGTCAAAGTGAGATAAACATTTTCTAGTAAAAATACTACTCATGCTCTATCATGCCAATAAAAATTTAACCCTCTCTCCATAACTGCACAAGTATCTCACAGTGAGATGCCACACAAATCTCCAAAAATGAATGCCAGCCATACTCCTTGCCCTATAGGCAAGGAATGGGGTAAGCAGTTTAGTCTGTCAAGTGATATTTCACAAAGTTTCCTTTATTTCCACAGGCCATTACACAATTTCAGGTAGCCACATAGCAAGTCTGCAAACAGTTCAGCTTAGAGCCCCATGAACTCAACAGAAGACTTAAAATGGGAATAAGTCTCTTAGGAAGAGAATGAAATTGTGACAATCTACACCTGTATACATACTGCTGTATAACTATCCTCTAAGCGCCTTATACTTTTTGTAGATTGTCAGCTCCTCTGTTTCTGTAAGAGGTCTACTTCCTGACATGCTGAAAACTCTTGGGATTTTGTTGAAAAGGCAGACAATCTTTCCAATTTCATATTCTCAGAACTCTAACAAGCATTTCCATTCACTGCTTATAAAAAAAGTAAGTAACTATAAAAAAGAATATATAACAAAAGGTGCAGTGTATTAAAATTTCTCATCAAGTTCATTGAGGTTAAAAGTTTCTTCAGTAACAAATACAAAGTTCTGTAAGCTGCTTGAGAAATTTTCAAAATGGATTATGATTATCCTTCCTTATTTAAATAGGGATTCTGGGCAGTAAAAATTAAATTAAAAGTCAACATAGGCATGCTTAAATTTCAAAGGAAATGAAATTCAGATTTGAAAAAAAACTTTACCTTGAGTGCTCAAAAATCAACTGTCAGTATTGACTGATTGTCTTCGAAAATCAAGGCAATTTAGATACAAAAAAAATGTTACAAAGAAAAGTTAAAAACTAATCAGTTTATGAAAGCAAATTTTAACAATTCAAACTATAATAACTGAAATACAGAAAAACAGGATGCGCCGATTTATTTAACTGTTAATCAAATATAAATAAAAAGTGTTTTGAGTTAGAAACAAGATGGCATGTATAACTATTGATAAGGAAAACTAAACAAAGGCAAATAATGACAGGACATAAATGAGACGAGATGGGCACGAACAAATTTGGAACTTAATTTTTCTTTCAAGTTGGCTGATATAAGAACCCAACAAACTGAAGGAGAGTCTGATGACTGCAAAGATAAGAACCAAAACAACGACTGTTCAGCGATATACGCGCGCCAATGTTATTTACAAACCTCAACCAAACAAACTCCAAGTCGTTATTCAGACCAGGGATGTATAATATATGCAAGAGATGACCGGATTTTCCGTTCAAAATGGTCTTAATTTTTATCTGAACAGACATGCTACATGAATAATTGCCAAGATATCCTCAGAAAGATTCGATCGCGTGACGTGCATTCGGCCAGTATCCTCCGTGCTTTAGAAATCAGCAAAGTCAACTAAACGTCTAGCGATCGAATCTTCCAAGTTGTGTAAACAAATCCTTCGAACTTGGTGTGAGATTTGAAATTAACTTAGCCTACATTCTCTCGCGTCACAATCTACCCGGCGATTTATCAATTACCGGACTAATTTGACAACAGCAGAGACATAAACAAAATCTGAACAATTCATGTCATTAAATCGATGACCTAAATCAAGCGTTGTAAGCATGGATCAAGTAAATTCCATTGGCTCCAAATAAAAAATATTAGAAAGGAGCAGGCATGCTTACAAATCTCAGCGAAATCTGGATGTAACAGAATTTGTTTCCAAGCTTTGGAGTGACAAAACAGATCACATAAGAGGTTATACTTACACGGGTAGGCGAGCTCTGTGGTGTGAAGGCCATGCAACATGCCTCTGTTAAAAGGAAAGAATACTGTCAGTGGAATAGTTCATCGGGCTTCCAGAATGTAACCTTAAATTATCGCGATGGGACCTGGACCTTTGTGTACACTGAAGCCTTTCAAATGCAAATTTCGACCTTAGCTTAGGGAAAACATGACCAGAGCGTAGCGATTTCATTTTAAGAAATAATTATTTAATAACAAAACAAAGCAAGTCAGTAAATGTTATCGAGATGTTTAAGGGAAAATAAATGTTATTTTAATCATCTTTAAACTGGCAAAACTAAGGCCTTCAAACTCCGAGTTACTCAGGACTTGTCTTCATTGACTTGTTTATTTGCAGTATGACTCGTCGATATATTTCACCCTAAAGATATTTTGAGATTTTAATTACAAATTAAGAATTCGTCCACTCATTTACAGACTTAAGACATGAAATGTCTTCCAAGTCCACGTAAAACATTCAAGAGGACGTAGTAAAGAATAGTTTGTGAGTTCTTGACAAAAAGTCGTTCGAATTAAATCGATCGCTTCCCGTGAAGTATTCAATTAGCAAAATTGTTGAACGATTTCCTTCACCATTTGATGGCAAATACATCATCCCGACGAAGCCTCAAATCACTTCTTCTATTTATCATAGCTACAGCTTATAAAAAAAAGAGTTAATCATTATATAATAAACATTGCGATTAAATATGAGCTAACGTTCACAGAAAAATGGAAACCTTCGTGTGAAATGAATAACTATTGTCTTACAATTTTATAGGAAACCAAGGTTGACCGAGCTGACCTTGCCATCAAATACATTTTGCGATCAGCCAAAAATTCTCGACTAGTTACCTGCTTGAACAGTTTGTTCTTACATCAATTCGAAAAGCAACATAGCTTTCCCGTAACCATGTGTTAAAAATTATCGAATTTTCCTCGTTAAGTGGGTTCAATTCAACAACACTGCATGTATTTTTAGCCGGATGACCCGCGATTGCGTCTCACAAAAGGAGAACAATTGCGCCTATAGTTATTTCGTTTTCCAATTTAGCGACATTGCCGATACATTACGTATTTGTGCGTTGCAAGTAATGTATATTGAAGGTAGATGGAGGTCTTTTCACTTGAGAGACTCGTCGATGAGTTCATTAATACCTAACAATCCGAGTTTTCTAAGCTACATCAAATTTAAGATGCTAACTTTAACGAATCCGTTAAAAGTTTGAAAAATTCTTAGATTCGAAACTACAGATTAGTCAGCGTAATCACGTCTTACCTGTGATCTTGTCGGCGTCTTTAGGCTTTGAAGAGTTCATTTTGGTTCGTTAATGACTATGTTTCAACGAGGAATTGTTCATCAACCGGTCAAATTGAAATTCGATGGTGGGGAGACGTATTTATCCACTAGCAAACCACGTTCCTCTTAACACAGTAACAACCATGATATAAATTAGATGGTCACAAAAGCACACACAAACGTAACGCCTCCTTGTCGGAAATCACAGCCAGCAATAGCCATGGTTGCCTAGTACCACTTTAGTACTTCAGTTTGTACTCGCCGCCATTTTCGTTTCGGCTGCATCCGCTAAATTTCACATTTACAAACTGCTCTATTGCATTCCACAAGAAGTTCAAACTTGAGGTAGTAGATGTTTCTCTCTCTTTTATGGTAAAATGATTTCACGTGGATGAAAGTCACCAGTCTTACAGATAAAACAAACCGATCCTTCTAAACAATCGTCCCAACATCCAAAACCTCCAAATAGAGGTTGGTGACGTCACATGACCATCTACCCATGCCCCCCACCACAGGAAAAGGGACTGTTTTGGCGCGTAGAAATATTTTAATTCCAGCTGACGGAAACGTTGCTATAGTCCACTAAAAATTGTACTTATTTCCCCTTCACAATCCACATTATCACAAAAGAGTCGAATCTAAACATCTTTTGAAAACGGATTTCCCTTTCAGCTGACCACAATTTTGTTCATTCAAGTTCAGAGATCGTGGTTCCTTTACGCGATATCACAAAAAGATTAAACATTAATTTATTCCACTCGCCACCAAAAAGCTAGGTCAGAGCAGAATGATTTACAAAACCTTCATGTTTCCGTTTTAGTCATGCTTACTAACTCTATTATTTATGACTATTACTTAACCATAAACATGTCTTACTTTGTATTTTTTTATTTCTTTATTTGCGAGTCTACAATTTCAATGGGAAGTTTGAAATACGTGCAATGCTCTAATATTAGCTACGAAACAAATAACTTAATGATAATTAGCGAGTCAATTATAAACCACAAGATTCAAAAGCCATGAGACGGTATTTTGAATTATTATTATAGTCATGATTTATTCATGTTTTTGTTTTTTTTTTTTTTTACAAGGAAACAGCTTTAAGGAAAAAGAGAACCATCATTTGTGATGGTTGACAAATACACTAGAGACAAAATTGACAAAAGGAGTCAAGTCTTTAGGGACGGCAAAGATTGTTGAAGATTGCTATGAGCGATCTTGAAAAATCGTTGGTCGAATTTTCCTTGGCGCGCATGGTGTGACGTGGCTACTAAACTAATTAACAGCCATGGTACCTAAGCTGCTTAACTCCGAGTAAGCTTACCTAAGCCGTCTAGTTTTGCGTAAAACTTTAAATAATGATTTTGACTCTAACGATTCCTTTTATGAGTCTGGGTGAGTGCTATATCAGAGTTGATATTGATTTTATATTGGCGATGTTTGTTTGGTGCAAACGCAAAGAGTATGAAGCGTTAATAATTTAATAGGTATTTCCGCCTTAAAAAAAGCTCTGTGTTTTCCGTCTAGACTAGACATTACTCCGTTTAATTTAAGATATTTTGCTTAAGGAATTGTTTAGTTGAAGTATTTTTCCACGTCTGCACAAAGATTGGGAGAGACTGTTCGATAGAGAAGCTTGAATTCTACAGTGGGGGAAATATCAACGAAGGAATTTACAATGGATTTTTTGTGAAATCAGTAATTGATACCGGCATCAGTGACGTATAAACCAATATGAAATGTGGATGATTGACCGATTTAAGAGCCTTAATATTAGCTTTGCTTGTGTAAACACTCATTTGTTTGTGTTGGAATCCACAGATAACAAATTACTAACTCTTAGACACTTCCTTTCGTTCATTCATGCAATTCCACCTTTCGCCGAAAGATAGCTTCAGAGTTAAAACTGAAAGATTTTCATGATATCAATTCATTTTGAAAATAAGAATTGATAGAGTCTATTTCAATAGTTCTTTTCTGAGTTGCGTGACCATAAAATATCAAAAGACCTTTTTAGTTTCGAAAGTTTACGTTAGATAAAAGAGCAAAGACTTTCAATCCTTCGCTGTCAAGATTTTATTTGCCTGTGCATTCTCGTTGCTAAATTTTATAAATTGCTAGTCCGGCAGTTGAACGAATTTAGCTTTGTGACAATGTTTCCTATTTTAACCAACTGTGTTTGATATCCTCTGATATTGCAAAGAAAACTAAAATTTCCAAAAGTCTTAAAAGTGCAATGACAATGATAATCATTTTAATAATACATTACTTATTTGAAAATAAATAATGATGATAATAACAAAAATGATTATAACAGAACAATGGATTATAAAAAATTTGTATTCTTTTAACAGAAACAGAAAAAGCAAAAAAATTATTAGTAAATAATCAAATAAGGGCTTAGCTTCAGGCTCGGCCGCCAGTCAAGAAGCTTGAATTCCTAAAACTGAGGTCAAAGTTGCGGTTTCCAAAGTGCATGCATCTACTGGGGTCATGGGTTCCTGATGTACAAAATTAGAAATCTTTCTCAAACTGTTTCCGTCTTCCTTATTATGCGAATGCTTCCTCTCCAGAGAGAAAAACATT